GAGCCTCCTCCCTATCATCTGTGAAGTGAAGGTTGCTTTGAGCTTAGCTAACTTAATATAGAAACAAGCAGTTTGCACCCAGCTGAAGGCTTCTGAGTTTAGGTTGCTCCTCCTACACTTGCTTGGCTCAGTCCCAGCCCCATGCGTGCTAATAAAAGCACTGGATTTGGGTCTTGAAGCCCTGGCATTTGGCATTAGCTTTGACACTAAATTGAGGGCGAGGGTGATAATAGCATATAACATTTACAGAGTACTTACCATAGGCCAGATATAATATTAAATGTGTATTTGTGTTCATTATCTTTATTTAATGCCTGCAACACCAACACCAACACCTATTTTAAAAACAGTAAAACTGTGACCAGCCAGTGTTGCTCAGTGGTTGAGCATTGACCTATGAAACAGGAGGTCATGGTTTGATTCCTGGTTAGGGCACATGCCCCGGTTGGGGGATTGAAACCCAGTGTGGGGCGTGCAGCAGGCATCCAATCAATGAGTCTACCTCATCATTGATGATGTTTCTATCTCACTCTCACTCTCCCTTCCTCTCTGAAATAAATAAAAATATATTTGAATAGGAAAACTGGGGCACCAAGCACTCAAGCAAACTGCTTAAGGTCTCAGTTTATAAGCGAGTGGCAGAGCCTTGATTCAGCTCCAGGGGGCGCACTTGTGCTCACTGTGCTGCCTGGAAGACTTTGACGTAGCCTCTTAAGACTAGAACCTAAAGGAAGTCAGCCAGTATGCAAATGAAAAGCCATTGTTTCACTTCACCACACTTCCAAATATCAGTATTTCTCCCATAACTCTCCCCCTAACTTTGATCATATTAAAGAAGTAGATGAGAAAGCGGAATAATCATGAGGTATAGAGTTGAATAAACCTGGGATTTCCTAGCCACACGAAAAAGAAGGATCTCTTATCCTTTGAGACAGCATGGAGGGACCTGGAGAGTATTATGCTAAGCGAAATAAGCCAAGTTGGGTAGCAGGGTCCATGGAGGAAAAAAGAGGGCATCTGTAATATTTTTAACAATGAAGGTAAATTTAAAAAATATTACCTGCCTCCTCCGTACTTATGAGAATTAAATTAGATAATGTAAATTCAGTGCCTAGCATAGTAGTTGGCATATGAGAAATGGCTATTAAGTAATCATAATTGTTACTAAGGCAGTAACCTTCAATTACATGAAGTTCCATAGGGTGAAAATGAACAGTGATTCTGTGTGGCACCAGACTGAGATGATAAAAGGAATCACAAAAGAGACTTACAGACAAGTCTTTTAAATAATAGAGCTACCTAGGACAGATTAGGTTGTCTTTGGGATGAGTTCCATGTGACTCAAAACATTTAAGCATGTTCACTTGGTGAACATGCTGTATGTACACAGACCCCAACCCCAGCAGTCCTTAGAGTCTATTTCGATTTATCTACAACCATAGGATGCTCTGTTGTCCTAACTCTCCCTATCCTTTGGGTTGCTACAGGTTTATGGTACCATTTTTCATATATACCATAGAAACCCATTCAAGCTTCAGGTGCTGGAAGGCAGGTGACCCAATTTAAACACAGTCATAATCGGCCACAAGACTTGATAGGAGTGACTGTTCTCTTATTGGAACCTGAGCTCATTCCTCTGTGATATTTGTGTCAAAGTTCGGATGAACACGTTTTCTATTAATATAGATTCTCCAGTGTTCCAAAGTGCATTTTTAGGAGTCTTTTTCCAATCGGTCCAGATGACAGATGACCTTGATCACTACACTAACACTTACCAAGTTTATTCTAAGAATCTAGAGGATTTACATGAGGTTCTTGGTTTGCCAGGCATTGTCAACTGGCAGCAACATTTGCAGATTCAAGGTGAGAGCATGTTTGGGGCCATTTGTGGGAAAGAGATGAGTCTGGTGGGAGCACAGCCCTTGGTAATCAAGGTGGTACTAGGGAGCTTTTGTGTGGCATGTATCTCAGTCAACCAATGACAGGGGTAAGAAGTTTATACAAACTTATTAACTTGTGGGTATGGGGTAGGTCTTTGGATGAGGTCAAGGTCAAAGATTATAAGAAGCACAGGTATGTAATACATGCTATATAATGCAGGGAAGAAGAAAACTTCTGACTAAATCTAAGGCCAGGGCCAAGGCCAGGGAAATCTCTCAAAAAATCTTTGAAAACTATTTTTTAATAGGACACTGATGATTTCTTATAAGATTGATGATCACTTATATATGTTTACTTTACATATGTTTGTTGCCCGTTGATATTCTTCCTATGAATTAACTGTCATTGCCTTTGCCAGACACTGCTTTAGCTTGTTTATCTTTTGTGCACTAGTTTTTTTTTATATTTATTTTTTATTGCAATACGAGTCACACACCATAAACTTCACCTTTTTAAAGTGCACAATTTAGTGCTTTTAAGTATTTGTAAAGTTTGTCATGTGTGGTCACAAAAGTTTCTGATCAGTTAGCTTAGTGGCCAACCAAGTGATTTCCTTCAATGATAGGAACCATTAATCTCCCAGCTTTTGCTGAAGGGTTCTGTACTTGTGCTGGGGGCATGCTTTCAATGTGTAGGCAGGCAGTGCAATTCAGAGACATGGAAACATTGAACAGAATGCGGAATCTCAGAAGGAAGGCAGGGGAGGGTGGGAGGGTGGGAGGCAATCAACGGAAGGCTTTGTATGTATATATGTATAATCCATGGACATGAACAACGAACAATTAGGTGTGAAAGATTGGGGTGAGAGGCAGGTTGGAGTGGGTTAATGGGGGAAAAAAGAAGGACATATATAATACTTTCAAAAATGAAGATTTTTTATAAAATAAAATAAAGATATGGCAGTTAGAGGTTGAATGGAAAAAGAGATGGGAGTAGGTGGGAAGGGTGAGAAATTGAAGAGGAGATGTGACTTAATTTGACATAGACAGGATAATGCCATTTTCAGACTTGTTGAGATTCCCTAGAGACCATGAAGTTGTAGGAAGGGATCAAGAGTTTCTGATTAGCACTTACTTCAAAGAATAAGATTATGACACTTACAGGTCATAGAACACCCTGACAGAAAGCAAGTCGTTTGCTTGTGGACACATCTATAAGAGAGGCAGGACAGTGGTCTAGGTTTTTAAGTGACTTACCTGAGTGAGTCATGGCTACTTCGGAGTAAAACTAAGACTCTTTTAAAAAATACATATATATTTTATTGATTTTTTACAGAGAGGAAGGGAGAGGGAGAGAGAGTCAGAAACATTGATCAGCTGCCTCCTGCACACCCCCTATTGGGGATGTGCCCGCAACCACGGTACATGCCCTTGACCGGAATCGAACCTGGGATCTTTCAGTCCGCAGGCCAATGCTCTATCCACTGAGTCAAACCGGTTAGGGCAAGACTCTTAAAATCCCATCTCTTTTCTAACACTGCTTAGAATATATGCTTCCACCTCTTTTTCTAACAGGAGCCTTCTCCCACCTCCTGAAGTCAAGTGAGATTCAAATTTGTAGCTACTTTCACTTTTTTATTTATAGCACTGCAAATTTCTAAGACTATATTCATGTGACTGTACTTGTGATCTCCATCTCTTTCCTTAGATGATTGATTGATTACCTCCGTACAGTTAGGAATCACCTGTTTTGTTCACTGTTGTATGTTAACCAGCACAGGGTCTAACACTGTGCTCAGCAAATGTTCATGGTATGTGTGAATTCCAACATACGGCATTCTCACCAGGCACTCATTCTCTCTCTCTCTTTTTTAATTGTAGTAACATTGGTTTATAACATTATATAAGTGTCATGTGTACAACATTATAATTCAACATCTGTATATACTACAGCATGCTCACCACGAAAGGTTTAGTTTCCCGCTGTCACCATATAATTGATCCCATTTACTGTTTTGCCCTCCCACCCCCTTTCCATCCGATAACCACCAATCTGCAGTTTGTGTCCATGAGTTTTGTTTCATTTGTTTGTTTTAATATTCCACACATGAATGATATTATACAGTATTTGTCTTTCTCCATCTGACTTATTTCATTTGCATAATACCCTCAAGTTATATGATATGTGTGTGTGTGTGTGTGTGTGTGTGTGTTATATTTCACGTAATTATAATATAAGGCTTGAGATGTGACCTGGGGAAGGATGACCAGCTGAAAAGACAGATTACTCTCCTGCCAACATTAAAAAGAAAGCCAGAAGGAAAAATTATAGAACCCAGCAAAAATTACCACCTCCTGGCAAGTTGGCAAGAGTCCATCAATGAACAAGGGTTTCAGGAAGGACAACATAGGAAAACATGCAACTGATATGAAGTGTGAGAAAACCCTGGAAATATGGGAGCTATGCTGGCTGGGAAGCTTTCCAAGGAGGAAGCTAGGGAGAGCCTAGGAAGGTGGAGTATTAAGATTGACCCTGTCCTGAGAGACCACTTCATTACCACTGATGACAATGTATTCTTTCTGTCCATTCATCCATACGTTCCTCTTGCTACAAGAGCAGTCCACCCAACACTGTCTTGTCACAGAGGCACACATTGCCACTGGTTCCAGTCACAGGGCATAGGGACACACTGGATTTTGAGATTCAGTCTTTGCATGCTGTGGTTGGCTTTATCCACGTGGGAATACATGGGGAAGCCAAGTTTCTCCAGAGCCTGGATCTGGGCACAGATGACATGAAAGATGAGACGGTGTCCTCGGTACTCAGGCACAGTGCCTGCCATCCGCAGCTCTCCTGTCTGGTCCATCAGGGTCCAGGACACAGGGGTCCCCTCGGGCCCCAGCAGACAGAAGGAGGGGAAGGTCTGGATACAGCGCTTGATGAATCTCTGGCTTCTCTCATTGCCGCCGAAATGCCAGAATTTATCCACCAGGACAGCATGTGTGACATCCAGGGATGAGAGTTTAAACATCTCTTGGTTGCTATTGGGAACAAGGGAAAAGAACAGCCCAAATATCATACATATTGCGAAGTATTATATTTGTTTCCATGCAGATAGTGTCAAGAGGCAATTAGGCGTACATTTAAGGGTTTGTGCTTTGCAGCCACACTGCCTAGGTTCATCAACTGACTACTTGTGTGATTTGGGGCTGATTATTTAATCCCTCATTTCCTTTATTTTGTCATCTAATAACTAGGGATGATAATGACACCTCCCTCCTAGAATCATCGTGAGGCTTACATGAGCCCATGGATATCAACGAACCAATACCTGTCAGAGAGTGAGCACCCCACAGAGATTAGCTGCAATTGTTTTATTTGGCCCTGGCCATCACTCTCCAAAACTAGGTAGGGTAGGTGTTCTTATTCTCATTTTACCTAGAAGTAAAATGTTTTCAAGAAATTAAACAAGTGCCCTGATGCACATGTTAATGAGCTGTAGGTAAAATAAGAGATGAGAATCATGGACTCTTAGAATGTTGGTGGGGAAGCTCAAGTCCAGAGAGGGGCAGTGATGTGGAGTGCAGGCCGCCCCTGAGGTACAGAACACTGAAGGCTTCTGCTATGGTATTAGGCGTTTCAGCAAGTGTCTTGGAAAGAACCCACAATGTAGAGCTAGAAGATGGAGACTCAAGGCCCAGTTACACTTGACCTTCCATGTGACCTGAACAAGTGATTTTTCCATCTGAACCTGGTTTCCGGCAGGAGATGGATAATATCTCCTACCTTGTCTATCTCATGGGATGGACAAGAAAATCAAATGAATTGATAGATTTGGCAGTATCTTTCAGGTGGAATGTGCAATGCCATGCAAATAAAGCTTTTCTAAGCATATTAACACAGAGAGGGCCAAGCGTTTGGGTGTCTCCAGATCAAATCTCTGCCATCACTTTTTAATTCTCTTCAGTGTTCAGTAAAGCACCAATGGGAAAAAAATGTATAATAGGTCCAAGTTCTCTTTATTGGAAATCTTTTGTTCTGTGAAGCAAATTTGCTAAACAAATGTTAAGCGCCTACTACATAGCAGACACTGTTATAGCTATTAAGGCTCTATCATTAAACAAGACAGAGGTGCCTGCAATTACAATATTGTTGGGCAGAATTCAAACATCAAATAAGTATATAAGTTAACTAAGTTAGCTAATTACAAATAATCATCTTTGCTATGAAAAATATAAAACTGAGTCATGTGTGGAAAATAACTGGGAAGTGACTTCAGGTGGATGGTGTAACCAGGACTCTATGGTAAGGTGACATTTGAGAAGTCCCGAATAACAAAAGAAGTCATGAGAGTAAAAAAAAGGGTGGGGTGGAGGGAAAGACACTTTAGGGCCTAAAGTTTAGGCAAAGGGAAAACCTGATTGAAAGGGCCTGATTTTTCAATGATCAACAGCGGGAGGAAGACCACTGTTGCTGGGGGAGTAAGCAAGGGAGATGAGGCCTAAAAGGTAAATGGATGCTGGCTCTCATAGGACCATGAAGGAGTTCAGAATTATTTCAAGGTGAGACAGGAATACTAGAGTCTTTTAAGAGGAGAGGGACATGTTCTAATTTTTGTTTTTTAAAAGATTAGTTTGGGTGCTTTGCAGAAAATGGATTATAGGGAGTCTAAGCAAAAACTGGAAAAGAAGTTGGGAGGTATAATGTGCTGAATTGTGTCCACCCAAACGTATTTGCACTGGGAACCGGAAAACATGACCTTATTTCAAAAAGGGTGTTTGCAGATGTAAATAAGTTAAAGGTTTCAACATGAAATCATCCTGGACCTTAAATCCAATGACAATCCTTGTAATAGACAGAAGAGAAGACACACACAGAGAGGAGAAGGCCATGTGAGCACACCAGAGACTTGAGTGATGCAGCCACAAGCCAAAGAATGCTTAGAGCCACCAGAAGCTGGAAGAGGCAAGGAAAGACCCTCTCCTAGAGGCTTTGAAGAGAACAATGGCTTGCCAACACATTGACTTCAGAGAATAAATTTCTGTGGTTCCAAGCCACCCCAGTTTGAGGCCATTTTTCACAGCAGTTGGAAAACGAATGCACGGGCTCCTGAGAGATACATAGAGCTTCAGACTTACATGGAATCATGTGTGCCCCCACTTGGAGATAACTTCTTTGCATTCAGCAGGGAAGGAACCAATTTCTTTGCTGTCTGAAGGATCATATAGAGGAAGCATTGTGTTCGCTTGACCTGACTCAGTTTAACAGCTACAAGATTTTCTATCACCTCATCCAGGTTGGATTGTGAACCTAGATGAAGAAAAGAGGAATAAGATGAGGTATCACTCGTCCTTTCTCTGTTGCCTAGGGGCTGGAAAGTTTGTGGTTTAGAGTCCTCAAAACCCATGTTCAATCATGACATGGCCTCTATAGGATTGAGGCTAAATCACTCCCACGTTTTTTAAATTAAAAATTGGGACTACACAGTACAGTCATGACTATCAAAGTTAATGAGGTATAATCGTGATGACCAAAATGTATCAAACAAGCCTACGCACCGCATGCTGTGGGTTGTTGCTGCAATGGTTTTGAGAGGGTTGTATTTTCCTCACTACCCTGATTTTTCCTCCTGATATGACTCTGAGCTTAACCGTGAAACTTGCTTTAGCCAGGGCAACGATAGTAAATGCAATTTAACAAGAAGCATGAAAAGGGATGGTGCACTGAGTCTTGCCCTCTCTTTATTTTTTATTTTCTTTTTCTTGCCTTCTCTTTCTGCTTTTGAAAACTCTGTGACTTCTATATGTTGCCCAATCCATTTCCACCAGCACAAGCAAAGCCAGCGATAGCCAGGCCTGGGGCGGTGTCTAACTAGTTCTACCAGCTCATAGACAAACCCCTGTGGATAGCAGCCACATGGATGAATCTAGGGGGAGCTAGCCAAAGAATCACCCAGATGAGTCCCATCTAAATTGCTGCCTCATGCCTGACTGGCATGACTCAGTGGTTGAACCTATAACCAGGAGGTCACAGTTCTATTACTGCTCTGGGTATATGCTCAGGTTGCAGGCTCTATCCCCAGTGGAGGTATGCAAGAGTCAGACAATCAATGATTCTCATTCAACACATTCTCTATCATCATTGATATTTCTGTCTCTCTCTCTCCCTCTCCTTTCCTCTCTGAAATAAATAAAAATATATTTTAAAATATAAATTGCTACCACACCAAATTGTGAGCTAATAAATTATTGCTGTTTTAAGCCACTGTTTCGGGATGGTTTGAAAACCAAATGATAAAACCAGACGTAGAGGGTCCCAAGCACTTCTCATTCAGTATCTGATTTAATCATTCAAAGGCTCTATATTTTAAATATTATCATAATCCTCACTTTTACCCAGGAGGAAACTGATCCACAGACAGGTTGTTACTTGCTCTAGATTACATCCTCCTATATAATAGAGGCAATATGCAAATTAACCCTCACCCCCTCACAAGACAGCTGCCTACGACCAGGCCTGCAGGGGGGTTAGTGAGGGACAACCAAATGACTGAATAGCAGGTTGTGTGGGGCGACCAGGCCAGTGGGGGGAGGGGCATGAGGGGCAACTAGACTAGAGGGGGAGCAGT